CCCCCCCCCCCACCAGACACCAAACCTCACTCCGATACCACCCCCCTCACCCCTACCTCCATAACACATTAACATCCTCCACCCCTTTCAAAGACTAACAGAAAGCGTTCTCTACACTGAATAAAAATATGAGAAGAGCAAGTGTCTAGCAATAGCGAAAGTTTAGTCTCAGCAATTGTACCGGGGAGAGTCACATTCCGCACCAAAGATACCGATAATTTAGCATGTGACGAGGATAAAAACAGTTGACAAACACACTGCTAACTAAACAGAGTTCTCTTTCGAACCTTAAGAGTAAGCAAAGACTATAGGAGTTAGTGAGTACTTTAAAAGTAAGTGAGAAAAAAGTTTCAGATTCAACTTTGATCCTTCTAAACCTTTGGAAAATACCAAATTTTTAAAAAAGGGCACGTTTCATATATATAACCCCTTCAGAATCAGGCCAATGACTTGTTTCATACTAGATACGACTCACTGAGTGTAACGAGAAACAAACGAGAAAAAAGAACAGGGAAAAAAGCGTGAACGGGTTCGTCCGTCAGTGACACCAACTGTCCGTCAGTGACATCAACTGTCTGTCAGTGACAACAACTGTCTGTCAGTGACAACAACTATCTGTCAGTTACACCAACTGTCTGTCAGTGACATTAACTGTGTCAGTTCCCCGTGCAGTGTCGTCAAGATGTCTGGAGCCATCATGAAGAACGGCAACTACAACGTGGTCAACAGCACGCTCGGCGGTGACGCAGGCGGCAGATTCCAGGACGCGGCGGTGCCGGGCGAGGAAGAGCAGAGTCTGGCCGCCTATACGGTGGTCCTCTCCATCGCGCTGCACCTCCTGTCCACCGTGTTCGGCGGCGGGAGCAGCGCGGCGGTCATGGCGGCGGTCCTCAGCCGCAAGAACATCGACAAGCAGAGCTACCTGGCCGTGCTGGCGCTCTTCCTGGCCTGCTGCACGCTTAACGTGGCCTGGAGCCCGCTGGAGGTCACCGACCTCCTGGTCTACCACTACTGGCAGCGCCACCCCAGCGCCACCATCGCCGCGGCCAAGACGGCACTCTACCTGTTCCTCGTGCTCATCATCAGCGTCATTATCACGCTCCTCTCCGTGGACGGCATGGCACGCGTCATCAACTACTCCTGGCGCCCTCTGGGCAGGCTGTGCAACCTCATCTCCTGCCTCGTCGCCGCCATCGTCGCTGCCGCTCTCCTCACCGTGTTCGTCGTTAAGTGTGTGAAGTCACCCGACAGTGCCCAGGACACGTTCGTCCTAACAGAGCCGGGCGCCAAAGTGACATTCCTGGTCCTGCTCACCGTGGCCTTCTCCCTGTGCGTGCTGGCCACCCTCCCGCTCATTGCGCTCCTCCTCCGGGAGAGCCTGTACTGGGAGGACGGCCGGCCACACTTCAGGCAGAAGAAGGTCAAGCTCGCCATTCCAGAGTTCCTCATCAGCCAGTCCAACGCGTGCGCGGGCGGCGCCGACAACACGGGGGGCTTCGAGAACAGCCACAGCGGCACGCCGTCCCCGTCCACGCCCAAGCTGCTCACGGTCGAGGCAGCGGACACGGCTTCTCTAAAAGGCGGTGGCGAGGACAGTAGCCCAATATCCGAGCTCCCGAGCCCCGTGGCCAAACCGATGGGCAACCGTCTGGGCATCAACATGGCGCAGGTTCTGGGCCGTCGGCGACACACAATCTGCCAGATCAGCGACTCTAGCAGCGCCGCCTCCGCGCCCGTGGATCCCGTGTCCAAAGCCAAGCAATACAACTACGTGAGGAAGTTCTCCGTGGACATCTCCGCGCTGCAAGCCCAGCTGCAAAACCCAAAGATCTTCAAAGAGGCGCCATTCCAGTCGGACGTGGATCTGACCAAAAAACCCTCGGACAACGCCAAACAGCCGGCGCCAAAGCCGCTGTTGCCGCTGAAACCGCTGCCGACTTTCAAATTCGACGAGAAGGAAGAGAAGGCGGGCGATGTGGAGAAGAAGGAGGCAGAGGTCCCGGGCGTGAAGATCACGCCGCCGCCTGTCATCATGGTCTCCAACGACGACACCCAGTACAACCACGGCGAGGGCGACGCCGGTCAGAAAGAATCAGCGTTCCAAAAACCGGAGAGCGGTGCCGGCGAGGATAAGGACGGCGGTAAGGAGGAAGAGAAGGACGGGGCGTCCGATCACGTGACCTCGCCTTCTCAGAACTCGCACAGCGGCGGCGTGCAGAAGCCGACGAGTCTGGCGTTCAAAGACCCGGCGTCGTCGGGCGGCACGGAGGAAGAGCACATCTCGGCGCCCACCCTGGAGAGCGCGGTGAGCGAGCCCAGCGACAGCGAGTCTGAGGGCCGGCGCCTGGCCCGTCTCACGCTCCTCCTGTGTGTGGCCTTCTGCCTGGCCATGCTGCCCGTGCTGGTGACGGAGCTCCTGCGAGCCTCGCTCAGCCTGCACGCCTACGTCAACATCCACACGTGCACGCTGGCCGTGAGCGCCCTGCAGACCATCGTCTACCCGCACCTAGTGGCCTGCTCGGATCATGTGGTGCACAGGGCGGTCAGGAGGCTCAAGAGGCGAGTCAGGATCAGCTGTGGGTGCCGCTCCGACCAGGATGGACAGAGTCACGTGGAGGACAGTTCCAGCATGAGCCAGGTGTAAGACGGGGCTGGCGCTCAGACATTTTAGAGGAAATGTGTGTAAGTGTAAGTCACTCACTCCGGACTGCTCAAGTCACCTCACCTTTGGTAACGTGACCAATAGCTAAACGCAGATCCAAGCGGTGACACTTGTTTGTTTTGATGAGTGTTTTACGGCGCTTGCAACTGCATAGGTCATATTATTATGAGCGCGCGAGCAGTGACACTGAAAGTGCAAGTAATAAGCAAACGAGCAAAGGCTTAACTTCTAAACAGTGTGAAGATTTCACTTCTGAGCCACAAAACTGTCTCCTCACTGTGGTCGTCAGTGCCGAATACAACGCTTTGCGCTGAGAGGCAAACAGGCGTAAAGGGAAGTTTTTATAAAAGTCTCCGTTGTACGGAGATGATACTGGAATGTCGAAGATCGTTTCATAATGTCCAGGTGGACAGGAGCCACCTCAAACAAATAACACTTTGTCCGTCAATGTCTGATGATGACCAACGCACCTGCAGAGGAGAGTACTCCTTTATGACAAATATACGAAATAGGGATTGAAATGAATTGTGGCTTCTGCACAAATTCTGGCAGAGAATGCCACGTTTAGAGCATTAAAAAAATTTATTTCTACTCGTGGATGCACGCGGCTTGGCTTCAGTAATTCATATTCGTAAGGCTCCATAACATTATTTTGATTTGCTGCCCTCAATGATTGCTGCTCTCCAACTTGGTCTGTCAGGAGCTACGCTATCCTGCGTCAAGGGATACATGTTAAAATCCTTCAGATATATTTCAGGGTGTCTTCATACAGTCGGCCGACTACGGATGAGTTGATGTCGTTGGGGCAGTGAAAAAAGATCCGAAGTGCAACTTAACCGTTGGGACCTATAAAAAAGAAGTGCTGGGACCCGAGAAAAGATCAACTTAATCGAAAATCCTCTCAGGCGAGTTCGACACAAGCGGATTAGATTGTAACACCTTGATAATGTACCGCCTTATACGAGGGGGAAAAACACCATAATTTCTTGTGATGACAAACGTAAAGTGATATTCTTCAGAGGAATGAACCCAGCCCTGGATCTATCAATAAATTCTGCAATTCCCAAGTGGTTCCTATCGATTATGTGCGCAGATCAACAAAGCATTAATCTGAAGCTCATTTCGCCGATGGGTACAAGATAAAGCCCAGCTGCCGCCACGCTTCATAAACAGCAGTCGCTGAGAAAACTGCAAACGAACGATCTCGTCGGGCGCCCGCCACCTTGAGACGACCTGACGTTCTGACGTCAGTCAGCCCACCCGTCGGATCCGACTCTCAGACACAGATGGCCATCTGATCTGTAACAACATGCCAACCCACCATCGACGCAGGTGCGAGGGGGAGGTGTGCAATCCGTTAGCTCAGTCGGAATCATGCTATGCTACCGAGCGAATCGCCCTGGTTCGACTCCCAGACTGGGATTTCTTGACCTAGGGCCTTGACCTGTGGAGTTTTCAAGGCTCTCAATCCACCTTGCCCACAGCGGAATTCCCGCCTCTCAAATAACCTTAAAGTGTAGATAGGGGCGTAAAACCCATATACGTATATAAGTGCGGGGATGGGAGAGCAAATCTCCCCCTACAGCAGCGGGGAAACCTGCACACTTGCTGCGAGCGTTTACAGAGGAGATAACTCATTTCGTTCGAACAGCATAGACATACGCCTCCC